ATTCTTGGGAATCCTACAGTACTCCACAAGCAGTAAATGGAATTGTAGACTTAATGGAAAACAGAACAGAAAAGAGAAAGGGATCACCAGAATTTTGTGCCACCTGGAGGTAAAATACGCTCACCTTTTTGGTGTATAGCTTTCCAGACTTTCTATCATATAAATATGCACCCTTGTCTCTTTTTTGCAGAAATGTGTATTAACACACAATTTTGTGTCTCAGCTACATTTCACATGCCTTGCTGAGCTCATGGATGAACACCCTTGTATTTTTTTAAAGGCTTCTATATAGTGTATTATTATTCTTTGATTACACAGGTTGTCCCTCTTTTTCTCATTTCAGAATCCCACTTGGCCTGTGGGGTTGGGCCATTCTTTTGTTCTGATTCATTTCTTGCCTGTAGATAGATTACTACTGTTTTTAAGTCCAAATTTCCAGTCCTCTCATTCCCCCATGAGCATTGTTCCTGAATAAACATAGAGGTCATGAATAAACATAGAGGTCATTTGGTATAAACTCTCCAAATTCTTTGCTTCTGAATTTATTTTTATCCTCACCCAGCAGGTTTCTCCACAGAGAAGTTCCTTCCCTGTCAAAAGTCAGCGTCCAAGAGGAAGACGTATTTCTGCCCTCTTTTCAGTGATACCGTCTCACCTTTGTTCTTGATTCCACGTTACTCCCTCTGCTATTTCTAATCCCATCCCCAGCTGCATTCTCTTGATGTCCTAAAGAATAGCCTGTGCGGTAGAGTTGGAGGGGTATGGATATTGTATTAAGTAGCGTTGACCTAATCATGTGAAAGGGTGATTTCTTTTCCACTTCTTCAGTCCCTTATTGAAGGGGAAAATCTCATTTGGCACTAGCACTTCTCAGAACATTCGCAGATATTTCTATGTTAACAAAGGGAATAAGCTAGAATGGAAGAATTCACGGAGGTTCAGACTTTGGCAGAAAACATGACCTAATACCATCATTTAGTTTCATCCTATTTGTTATTCATTTTTAAACCAGGAAACATTTCAAATGGAAAAATACAGAGATTAATCTCTCTCTCTCTCTCTCTCTCTCTCTCTCTCTCTCTCTCTCTCTC